AACCAGGTTTGCTGGTCTGATAGAGCCTGGTGGAACCCCTGAGACTATGGCCCCTGGCTGCCCTTCAGGTCTGGAATTGAACCCACTCCTCTAGCTTCCAGCCAAACAAAAGATAGGCATATGAGCTGAACATTTATATTAGGTAGATACACTTCTTGGAGAGATCACTCATGGGAGAACAGAAGGGCTGTGACATTCACTGCAATCTTCACATTGTAACAGCACTCTCCCCACTTCTTCCCTGTGTTCACCATTTCCCTTCATCCTTGTTTCCTATCCCTTCCTGCCTTCTGGGGAACTCTGGTGGCACAGTGTCTAAGGCATTTGACTGCTAACCAGAACGCTGGCAGTTCAAACCCACTAGTCACTCCTCAGAAGATTGGGCAATCTACTTCTGTAGTGATACCTCCTGGGAAACCCAAGGAGGGGTCGCTAAGAGTGGGGGCCAACTTGATGGCACATAACAACAACAACAACAACAACATTCTGCCTCCTGAGCTCTATCCCTGGGCAAATGCTGCCTTTCGATCCCATTTGGCTGATCGTTCTAAGGAGTGCATACCGCCCTGGTGTCATTGTTCACCCCATAGGCCTGTCTGTCATTTGGTTGGAAGTCAAGTCACAGGGGTGAGCTCAGTTCCAGGCTGGAAGGGTGACTAAAGGCCACAGTCTCGGGCCTCCCCCAGTCTCTATTAGACCAGGAAGCCTGGGCTTCTTACGATTTTGAGTTTTGTTTCAGATTTTTCCCCCACTCTACCCAGAACCTCCTATGGCAATCCCTCTCAGCGGTCAGCAGTGGTAGCTGGGCACTGTATGACTTCATTTTAAGAACAACGTTCCTCATATGGTCCCTAACAAATTATAATACAGGCAGTTCCCAGGTTATTAAACTGTGACTTCACACAAATCGTAGTTACCAAGCCCAGTAAAGCTGGGCTCATACAATAAATCTGAGGCTCATACAATAGTTCTTAATAACAAACAGATGCTGTTTTGAGATTTATTATTGTTACTGTATTATGATGTTAAGGATGTTTTGGGGCATCTGGAAGTGTTTCCTTACTGATTTTTATGCATAGAAAAGTGCACTGTATACCATATACTGAGACAGACACTACACTAACTGATGTTGTATAGAACTGTACCTAGCTGCTCCAACTTCTGTATAAAGTCAACTTAAAGACAGATTTAGGAGCAGAACACATTCATGATCTGGGGAGTACCTGTCCTCAGAACTAGAATGACCTCACTTGGACCACTGTGGGCTTCCCTGACCAACTTCTGGTTCGTGTTGCAGGCAGTGCAAGGAACAAGGGCAGAGAATCCAGAGATCAAGTCTCTCGCTCCTTGGGAGCTGTGTGACCTTGAATGAAGCTGTACACCTCTCTGGGCCTCAACTGCCAAGTGAGAAAACAATCTATATAGCTAATGTATTGAGTGTCTTCTATGCATCAGGTCTAGTCTTTCTTGTATTAACTAAGTTAATCCTCACAGCAACATGGGAGGCAGAACTATGGTTGTGATAACCATCTTATACAGGAGTGAACCGAGGCAGGGAGAGGTGAAGAATTTGTCGAAGGTCATGGCAGAGGGTTGGACCCTCGACTCACTTCCCATCCTATACTGCTTTGGGGGACTGTGAGCTTCAAAATGATCCTAAAGATAGCCCACAGGGGGTGCCCTCCTGAGTGTCTCTGAACCCTCTGCTCAGGGTTCCAGGCATCCACGCCATCAAAGGTTCCTGAAAAAGCCCTTAAGGGGACATGT